GGGATACAAATAGCAAAAATAAACTGACAGGGTTTGTAACCCTTCCTTATTCTATCCAAAATTTAAAGAAAAGTTTTGCCTACAGTTCTATTAAATTCAGGCAACGTGCACCAATGCCATCTGTCTACTCAACACACGGTGCTTTGGGGATCCTTTTCAACTATTAAATATGGTGTGTGTATGTATATATATATATATATATGTACAGGCCTTTTTTTTTCTCAATAGGTGCAGGAACTCATCCTTCTGAGTCACTTCTTGATTCTGTTCCCAATCCACCTCCCAGTACCGCCCCTTTTAGAGAATACAAAGCCAGGTATCATTTTGTGGTGCTAAGCAATTTGTATGGAATTTGTTAATGAGAACAAGAAAACCAGTAAATTAGATTCGCTGCGGCCAGCAGCAATAGATCCCCCCAGCAGCAATGGACTCCAGAAACAATAGACCACTGGCAGCAACAACAAATTTCCCAGCAGCCAGCACAGTAGACTCTCCAGCAGTCAGCAGCAATAGACCCCTCCCTCAACAATAAATCCCTTTCAGTAACAATTGACCCCCCCCAACATTATAAGCTTCCCCAGCAACAATAAACCTCCCCAGCAACAATAGACTGCCACACAAAAATAGATGCCCTCCAACAACAATAGAACTCACAGCAACCAGCATCAATAGACCCTTCAGAACACCCCAGTGCCCCTTGCTATTACATACATTCAGTGCTAGCAGTGCCGGAACTGTGTTCCCAGTGAAAAAAAGCCCTGTATATAGTATATATGTACAGTGGATAGAAAAAGTCTACACACCCCTGTTAAAATGTCAGGTTTCTGTGATGTTAAAAAATGAGACAAAGATAAATCACTTCAGAACTTTTTCCACCTTTAATGTGACCTATAAACTGTACAACTCAGTTGAACAACAAACTGAAATCTTTTAGGTGGAGGGAAGTAAAAATATAAAACTAAAATAATCTGGTTGCATAAGTGTACACACCCTTACACTAATACTTTGTTGAATCCCCTTTTGATGCGATTCCGGCACTCAATCTTTTTGGGGAGGAGTCTTTCAGCATGGCACATCTTGACTTGGCAATATTTGACCGCTCTTCCTTGCAAAAACATTCCAAATCTGTCAGATTGCGAGGACATCTCCTGTGAACAGTCCTCTTCAGATCACCCCACAGATTTTCGATCGGATTCAGGTCTGGGCTCTGGCTGGGCCATTCCTTTGTTGATTTGGATGTATGCTTTGGGTGGTTGTCATGCTGAAAGATGAAGTTCCTCTTCATGTTCAGCTTTCTAGCAGAAGCCTGCAGGTTTTGTGCCAATATTGCCTAGTATTTGGAACTGTTCATAATTCCCTCTACCTTGACTAAGGCCCCAGTTTCAACTGAAGAAAAACAGCCCCAAAGCATGATGCTACCACCACCATGCTTCACGGTGGGTATGGTGTTCTTTTGGTGATGTGCAGTGTTGTTTTAGCTCCAAACATATCTCTTTGCATTATGGCCAAAAAGTTCAACCTTGGTTTCATCAGACCAGAACACATTTTCCCACATGCTTTTGGGAGATTTCAGATGTGTTTTTGCAAAATGTAGCCGGGCTTGGATGTTTCTCTTTGTGTGCACACTTATGCAACCACATTATTTTAGTTTTTTATGTTTACCCCCCCCCCCCCCCCCCAAAAAGACTTCAGTTTGTTTTTCATTTAAGTTGCACAGTTTATAGGTCACATCAAAGGTGGAAAAAGTTCTGAAATAATTTATCTTTGTCTTTTACATCACAGAAACCTGACATTTTAACAAGGGTGTGTAGACATTTTATATCCACTGTATATATATATATATATATATATATATAGCATTTGCAGAGTTCGTTGCTGCATACAATCCAATTCAACATTCAAAGACTGCACTTCAAGTGGTTCAGAAACGGGTTACAAATCCATATCACAATCCCCTTTGCACACCAACCTTTATACATTATTATTATTATTATTATTATTATACAGTATTTATAAAGCGCCAATAGTTCGCTCAGCGCTGTACATTACAAAGGGGGACAGAACATGTGACAGAACAATACCAATACAATGCAAAACATGAGGGGTTCGAGGGCCCTGCTCTTTCGAGCTTACAATCTAGGAGGGAGGGGGTGGTGGCACAGGAGGAGATAGCTGTGGGGGATGGGGTGGTAGGAAGAGTGGAGGAGGTCGGCAAGTTAGCAGGGGGTGGGGTAGGCTTCCCTGAAGAGATGGGTTTTCAGGGTGCGCCTAAAGGAGAGAAGAGTAGGTGATAATCTGATGGGTTGGGGCAGGGAGTTCCAGAGGATGGGTGACACCCTGGAGAAGTCCTGGAGGCGGGCATGGGAGGAGGAGACCAGGGAACTAGAGAGAAGGAGGTCTTGTGAGGAGCACATGATTTTATTAAGCCAGCACTGAGCCCACGCATTGCACACAGTCCAAGGGACAGGTAATCCCGCAACACCCAGCTTTTCCTGTGGACTACAGAACAACTCACCCCTATGATATGAAAAAGAAGAGAAGGAAAGGTGTTCTGTAGCCCTAACACTTACTGCCCTGGGGTGACAACAATGCTTCTCCATGCATGTGCAACAGAGTGAGCACACTAGGCATTGCTAGGACAAGGTCCTTCAGTTCCCAGACTGACAATGGGAACCCCCCCCCCCGCCCCCTCCGCTGGACAGAGAAGGGGATTGGGCTAATAGTGGCATGTGGTGAAATGTATGTAATGTTTGTGGCATCCAATGAACTTGCATCGATGTTTGAGTTACACTGCAGTGAAACTGAAGAGTTTCAAAAAATCAACATGTGCAAACATGGGGGTAACACTGCCAAAGGAAAATGTTCCTGCATCTGTGGTGTCACTCAAAGAAAAAAATTGTTCTGCATCTGTGGTGTCACTTAAAGAAAAAAATCTCCCTGCATCTGTGGTGTCACTCAAAGGAAAAAATGTTCCCTGCATTTGTGAGGTCATTGGAAGAAAAAAAAAATATATCTCTAATGCAGCCACTACATCCATGATAGATTGATATGGAATACTGCACATTGCACCACCTTATTAAAGGAATAAATATCCCTGCATCTGTGGTGTCACTGGAAGGGGAAAAATGTCCCTGCATCTGTGGCATCACTGGAAGGGGAAAAATGTCCCTGCATCCGTGGCATCACTGGAAGGGGAAAAATGTCCCTGCATCTGTGGTGTCACTGGAAGGGGTGTCCCTCAAACACTGGAAGGGGAAAAATGTCCCTGCATCTGTGTCATCAAACTGTGCTGCTGTAGTGTCATTGGAAGGGGAAAAATGTCCAGGCATCTGTGGTATCACTGGAAGGGGAAAAATATCCCTGCATCTGTGGTGTCACTGAAAGGGGAAAAATATCCCTGCATCTGTGATGTCACTGGAAGGGGAAAAATATCCCTGCATCTGTGGTGTCACTGGAAGGGGAAAAATATCCCTGCATCTGTGGTGTCACTGGAAGGGGTAAAATATCCCTGCATCTGTGGTGTCACTGGAAGGGGAAAAATGACCCTGCATCTGTGGTGTCACTCAAAGGGAAAAATGTCGCTGCATCTGTAGTGTCACTGAAAGGGGAAAATATCCCTGCATCTGTGGTGTTACTGGAAGGGGAAATATGTCCCTGCAATTGTGGTGTCACTGGAAGGGGGGAAAATGACCCTGCATCTGTGGTGTCATTCAAAGGGAAAAATGTTGCTGCATCTGCAGTATCACTGGAAGGAAAAAAAATGTCCCTGCATCGGTGGTGGCACTGAAAGGACAAAATGCCCCTTTGTCAGTGGTGGCACTGGAAAAAGAAAAATGCCCCAGCATCAATGGTGTCACTGGAAGACAAAAATGTCCCTAACGCAGCTACATCCAAAGACTGGAAAGCTCCAATACATTACATTTTCCTTCTTGAGTTTATATACACTTTGAATTAAAATATGCCCCAAAAACATTATAGATAGATGACCTCTGCATGATTGATGTGGCCTTTGCACTGCCTTATGAATTTGGCCCTATAGGGCGATATATTACAGCGCAGGGTGTGAAAGGATCCGTCCCGGAATGATTAATGAGCCACCTCAGCTAATGCCACACATACTGGAGGAAGTTCCTATTTTAAACTCCTGTCTCTGCTTTTCCTATCTCCCTTTTTTTTTTTCTCCGAAAGAGTGTTTAATTTACTGTTTAGACCACTGGCAATGAAAAACGAAGCTCGGAGCAGAGTTCTGCCGTCACACAAAGATAATGCAGATATAATTTTAGACCTACAGGACGCACAGAACGCAGCGTGATATATTAGACTTGATGGTTTTTTCCTTAGCCAGTAATTGATTGATTTGAGTTATATTGCCCTTGAATTACTATAAGTAGGAGCTAACTCTGCAAATCACGGTAATTAATGACTAGAACAATGAGTTGTCGGTGTTCTGCAGTCGTGAGGGGGGGGGGGGGACGAGGTTATATTCTGGGAATTTGCAAATCACGGCACGACAATTTGTACAGATATATTGGATGTGGGTACTCTGCTCTATCAGGAAAAAAAGGATAATCAGTGGCTATAGATACTATACATTGAGAGTGAGATCTCCAAATTGCAGCCCACTGCAAGATTACACTATATTGCCCAAAAGTATTGGTCGGCCTGCCTTTCCACGCACATGAACTTTAATGGCATCCCAGTCTTAGTCTGTAGGGTTCAATATTGAGTTGGCCCCGCCCTTTGCAGCTATAACAGCTTCAACTCTTCTGGGAAGGCCGTCCACAAGGTTTAGGAGGGTGTCTATGGGAAGGTTTGACCATTCTTCCAGAAGCACATTTGTGAGGTCAGGCACTGATGTCGGATTGGAAGGCCTGGTTCCTAGTCTCAGCTCTAATTCATCCCAAAAGTGTTCTATTAGTTTGAAGTCAGGAGGTGGAAGACAGTCAAATTCCTCCACCCCAAACTCACCCATCCATGTCTTTCTGGACCTTGCTTTGTGGACTGGTGCGCAGTCATATTGGAACAGGAAGGGGCCATCACCAAACTGTTCCCACAAAGTTGGAAGCATGAAATTGTCTTGGTATGCTGACGCCTTAAGAGTTCCCTTCACTGAAACTAAGGTGTTCTATCGGGTTGAGGTCAGGACTCTGTGCAGGCCAGTCAAGTTCCTCCACCCCAAACTCACCCATCCATGTCTTTATGGACCTTGCTTTGTGCACTGGTGCGCAGTCAAGTTGGAACAGGAAGGGGCCATCCCAAAACTGTTCCCACAAAGTTGGGAGCATTAAATTGTCCAAAATGTCTTGGTATGCTGACACCTTAAGGGTTCCCTTCACTGGAATTAAGGGGCCAACCCCACCCCCGGAAAAACAAACCCACACCATAACCCCCCTCCACCAAACTTTACACTTGGCACAATGCAGTCAGGCAAGTACTGTTCTCCTGGAAACTGCCAAACCCAGACACATCCATTGGATTGCCAGACAGAGAAGCGCGATTGCTCACTCCAGAGAACATGTCATCACTGCTCTAGAGTCCAGTGGCAGCGTGCTTTACACCACTGCATACAATGCTTTGCATTGCACTTGGTGATGTAAGGCTTGGATGCAGCTGCTCAGCCATGGAAACCCATTCCATGAAGCTCTCTACACACTGTTGTTGTGCTAAACTGAAGGCCACATGAAGTTTGGAGGTCTTTAGCTATTGACTCTGCAGACAGTTGGCGACTTCTGCGCACTGTGCACTTCAGCATGGCTGACCCCGCTCTGTCATTTTACGTGGCCTACCACTTGGTGGCTGAGTTGCTGTTGTTCCCAGTTGCTTCCACTTTGTTATAATCCCACTAACAGTTGATCGTGGAATATTTAGTAGCCAGGAAATGTCACGGATGGACTTATTGCACAGGTGACAACCTATCACGGGACCACGCTTGGAGTCACTGAGCTCCTGAGAGCGACCCATTCTTTCACAAATGTTTGTAGAAGCAGTCTGCATGCCTAGGTAATGATTTTATACACCTGTGGCCATGGAGGTGATTGGAACACCTAAATCTCCAATGATGTGGAGGGCTGGCCAAATACTTTTGGCAATATAGTGTACTGTATATCTGGCCTGCAGCTAGGGTCAGCGGCTTCTCACACGGGTCTTCAGGTCAGTCTCCATTTCTATTACAACATCCTCCAACCCTTGGATAGATATTATTATTATACAGGATTTATATAGCGCAAACAGTTTGCTCAGTGCTTTACAATATAAGGGGAGACAATACAGCAACAATACAGTTCAATACTACAAGAGGGATAGGAGGGCCCTGCTCCTTGGAGCTTACAATCTAGATATAAAACTGATGAATGGAGAGATGGATGGGTGAGAGGATAGATAGATAGATAGATAGATAGATAGATATAGATAGATAGATAGATAGATAGATAGATAGACACATCTATAGATTTCAACCGTCATCCTCAGATCCATAAACCTGCAGCTGATCCAGAGGATTCTCTCTTCTACTATATTGTGGAGTGTATTTGGATGAAAACTCAGTAAAGGTGATTTGATTGGATGTGCAGCCCCTAAATTCATTTCTCCATTTTGAAGACTGCAACAAGCTCTGATGTAAGGGCCAGCACCTGTTAGTGTGTGTGGAGGTGGGCTAGGCGGAGTCTGAACGGGAGCGGTGTTTGTTCATCCATGTCTTACATCGTCTCCTTCCTCCCAGCCACCACTGCAGGACACTTTCAGGGGACAAGCTCTGTCCTGGGCTCATAAGCAAACCTCACAAAGCAGTGTCCATCATCACCAGCCTGAGAGGACGGACATGGGAGGTGTTGGCAAACCAAGATTCAAATCTTTCATTTACCGGGTATTGTTATGTATTACTTATTACGACAGGTTTCCTTTATTGGACGGCACCTGAATATGGATGGCTTTCTCCACGAATGACAGTCTACAGTTTTACTTTTATGGAGTAGTTTTATGGTCTATTTACAGCCAACTCTATACTGCCAGTCTACTACCATTGCTCACTCATCTCTAAATGGTTTTATAAGTAATGATTAACTGGATATTATGGTTTTATTGCTGCCGTTTCACTTTGGTTCCACTAAAGACTTTGCGCTATTGCAAAGATGTGTAATTGCAACGTATTGCTCGTGAGTTTGTCCCCCTTTTTTTCTGTGTCATTTATTTTTTATAGGCAAATAAACATTTTATTATCTGTTATGGATTTATGGTAGTAAATTAGTAATTACTCAGATATTTTAAGCTGTGCACTAACTCAGATACATTGTTCTTTTTTCTTCTGCTCAAGGAACATCCGGTTCACATGAAAATTTCATAAATTTTATGGGCTCTTGCAAGAGAATCCATTAGGTGTGCCGGTGGGAGCCTCGGACTGCGTAAAATTAAAAACTCCTCATATCATGCAAGTTTCAAATCATAGTTATTGTTACTAAGAGTCATTTAGTCTCTTCGCACCTTAAATTCCCTCTCGGCTTTCAAATGTTGATTTAGATTTTACAACATTTAATAGTTTCACAGTGCTTTGGTTTTTTGGCATCAGAATTCAAGTGCAGCGTGTTTAACCCATATCCACCTGCCCTGTGTCCCTTTTAAAAGTTCTGGATGTCCAAAGAGTGGGAAGGATTTGCGATCGTGTGACCACTGTGATTGGCTGTTATAGTGGTCACATGACTGGGAGCCAGTCCCGACAGCTACCAATTGTTGGTCTGGACCGAGACCTGTCTGTGGCAGCTGGGAGCATGCAGCGAGCGCATTCTCAGAACAGAAACTTCGGCCATCCAGAGATGCATAGGTGGATGTTAAGGTCCTTCTGTCAGTGCACCTATGTGCTGCACAAGCAGCAACAGGTTAAGAATGGGACCTTTCCTGCAGAAGGCAAATTGGACTCCAAGCCAAGGGTCTCAAAACGTTCAAAACAATGGGGCCATTTTACTGTCAGGTTTCAGACTTTGGGGGCTGGGTTATGGCCAATAGGAGTAGAAAATATCCTGGCATCAGTTGAAGTAAAGAATGACTCAAGGTTGGTGGTCAGTGGGAGAAAAACAATTACAGTGCCCCGTCATTGATGTCAATATGAACAATACAGCCCTATTGTTGGGTGTCAAAAGGAGGAATATTGTCCTATCATTGATGTCTTTGGATGAAATAGTGTTTCATTGTTTATATCAGTGGGAGGAAATATGCCTCACTGTTGGTGTCAATAGGAGTAATAGTGCCCCAAGGGCTGGAAAAAGGCAAGCATAGGGAACCATTGTTATAAGCTTTCATGTTCCCTTATTAACCATCCCCAGAGCTTTTTTTCAGCAGAAACGCAGTTCTGGTACCTCCAGCACTGAATGTTTTTAATGGTGAGGGGTAATGAGGTGTGCTTGATGATCTATTGTTGCTGTTGGAGGTCAATTGTTGCTGGGAGGGGTCTATTGTTGTTGGCTGTTGGTGTTTCTATTGATGCTGTCTACTGGGAGATCTATTTTGTGGGGGGTATTATTTTGTTGCTGGGGGGTATATAGTTGCTGGCTGTGGGGATCTACTATCATTTCACACAAATTCTATACAATAAAAAATTGTACTTGTTTCTGTATTCTCTATAAGGGGTAGTAGTGGAAGGTGGGTATGGGGTAGAACCAAGGGACAGTGTTCAGAGACAAGGGGTGACTCAAAAGGGGGAGTTCCTGCACCTATTCCTTGAGAAAAAAAGCCCTGACCATCCCTAACCCTTCTACCATATAGCTAACTGTAAAGAAGAATCCAAGGTACGGCATTTTTTTCCAGCTTGGACCAATGCAACTATGCATATACCAAATCTGTGGAATCCCTCTAAAAGTTGAAAATCACTGTAGTAGACACCACTACTCTAGTGCTCTCCACTAGCTTCTGGGTCCCATGGCAAGCAGCTGCCCTGATGCATTCTGAACACAGGAGGTTGGATGCTCGGAACAGGCGCCATTCAGAGATCACTTGCCATTTTTTCAATGAATGCTAAGTACTCTTTGATTGCACAAGGTGGAGAACATGACATCGCCATCCCACCTCTTCACCTTATCCAATCAGAGAATGCTTTGCATTCATTGAGAAAATGCAGAGCAATCTCTGAATGGTTTCTGTGCCAAGTGGCCGACCTCCTGTGTTTACAATGCAGCAGGGCACCACGGGACCTGGAAGCAAATGGAGATCACTGAGCCTAAGATCCCAAACTTGGATGTAGGCTGAGCAAAGATGTCACCATTGGTGAGGAAGCTTGTGGACATTGCATTTCTGAAGGGGAGGTGAGTATAGTTCCACTTAAAAGTGTACAAATCCTAGAAGCATACTGTATTTAGGTGACTTCTTAAGCATGTACAAGAATGGAGCTTAACATCACCCTGCGGAAATATCTTAATAAAAAAAAACCAAGACCTATCCTTTGTACCTATGAACTCTCCAACACATTGTTTTGCCCACCACTATAAAGTGCTCTTTAAAAACTAACAATAACCCCAGGTAAAACTACAGGGAAAAACGTCCACTAAATAAATGCTGCTGGTGAGATTGCTTATTACTCCCATAAGAGCTGCCTAATCAAAGGGCCATTAGCTGTAGATTAGTTTAGGAACTCAATGGGGATACAGAATCTTTGAAGCGGCAGGGTGCCTTTTATAGTGATCACATTTTGGGTAAGTGACGTCTGAGGTCACTAATGGTGCACATGGTAATTCTCTCCATTTTAGGGCTGAGTCATGAAATCAGGCTGAAAAACAAGTTTGTTTTGCTTTAGAAATTAGTGGGTGCAGGCAATCATAAGACTGATGAAAGTATGCCTGTGCTTTGCATGTGAGGGCAAAGCAATTGGTTGACTTAGATCCAAACTTCCTTTCTAGGAAATGAGATAAATTAGAGTATTACTTACCATAATCCAAGGTCCAATAGTCTTTCTCCCCTCTAGATCTGGTTGGGATGACCAGGATTGTCACCAATCCTCTCACCAATATCATGACCATCAAGGCCACCACTGGTCTTACATTGTACATGCTGATGTAGGAGTACCTGTCCACATTCCAACACTAGAAAGGACTGGACTGCTGATTGTCATGGGACCCTGGATTATGGTACTGTAAGTAATACTCTGTAATCTTACCCCAAAACAAAACCAGCATTTAATATTTTATCAGCTAGGGAAAATGGACAATTTTAATATGGTTTAAAATGCCCAGAGTTCAGCTTTAACTTTCCCCTCAGCCATGCATGCTCATTTTCCTCCACAGCTCTCCCACTCGCTTCAGATCCTAGGAGCAAAGAACCACTTTTTATCCCTTTTGGATAGAGTGGAGAGGGATTTGAAACCCCTGCTGGGGAACAGGATGTAAGAGCAAATTCTACAGAGTAAGGGGAATTCACATCTAAGATAGTTGTCACCAGCACAGGTGTCCTCATTAGATTTCCCCATCACCTCTTGATCTGGTTACAAATCTAATATTGTGGATGCCCATCATTTTCTATCACTAGGAAAAAGAGAATAGGTGGCTCTGATGGAGTTTTATACACTTCCAAACTAACCAAAACTAAAAAATGAAAAACGTTTTGGACGAGCAAACCCTTTAAGGAGCTTACGCAAGGCTGAGGACTTGTACTGTATGTGACAGTGCTTGGCCAATATTCAAGAACCAACGCTGTCATGTGAGAAGGAGGAAGAGTAGTGGTCACATGCTCCACCTAACTAGAAGTTCCAGGTATTTTATATTCTTTCTGGAACCCTATTTGAAGACTGCAGCAACATTGTTCTCTTTCTCAGCTCCCTGGGAAGGAAGGAATTACTGAATGATTGTAACATTCTGAAGGAATTACCTATTGGTTAATGACTGAAGGAGGATTTTTTGTTGATTCCTGCCCAGGAACGAAACTGATAAATCCCAACTCTAGCCAAAATCTGTTATTGTATTAATTTTGGATAGAGTGGTGAAGGGGCTAGAGCTCCAGCTTACAATAAACTAATTATG